CTGGCATACCTCATTGGAATGAGCAACTCAAGTCATTAAAAAGATTTAATGGAAAGATGTTATGAAAGAAGCTTTATTTTAATTTTTCCTGCATTTTCCAACAATATTTCACAGTAATTCTTAACTACATAGCTCCCTTCATCTCCAGACACAGAAAAGCCAAACAAGTGAGTCAGGCTGTAACCCACACTGAGGCATTAGCTGGTGTTGTGTAATTACAAGACAGGTGTATCACCACTCCTAAGCCTGAGAACAACAATATCCCAGTAACACAGGGTCATGATAAAATTGAACTCTTGACCACAAGTAACTGTTTGCTGTACCCCGTTGATATAAGAAGACTGATTTATGGAGCTGAGCTCCACTTCTTTATAGCCCTTCCCTCAAAAAAAAAAAAAAAGGGGGGGGGTATTGGCCAAGGTCCTGGTGCTGGTTTCATAAACTAATCTCTGATTGTGGGTAGGAAAGCTCATGAAACGGATCCAGTTGGCTTGTAAGGTGACTCACCCCTCTTCTCTCAGTGGGCTCCAGGGAGGGATCTTGAGCTTATAGCAGTGAGATACAGTAGTTGGCAGGGCTTAAGGTATTATCTGTCCAGACTGTTGATGAATACTAATTACTGTTTGTTTGTGTTTTAAGAGAGATTGACTGAAAAGGGAGGATTGATTAGAAGGAGGAAGGAGTGAAAGAAAGCAAAAATAAAGTTTGGGAGAAAGGCTGGGTAAAGTTTGGGAGAAAGGCTAGGTAAGGCATGATAAGGGATAAAGGAAGGAGGAATAGAAGTTACGGCATAATCAAGAAAGGCTGATACGGAAAGCAATAGCCCCATATTATGATGACTAGAAAAAGCTCAGATTCTGTTAATAGAACTTGATTTTGAATTCTAGCTCCCACATTTCCAAGTCTTATAGCTTTGGACAAGTCATTTCTCATCTCTAGGCTTGTTTATTCATATATAAATATGGGGATAATAATAGTACCTAGTTGGTAGAATCAGGAGCTCTGGTGGTACAGTGGTTAAAGCATTTGGTCACTAACCAAAAGGTCAGTAGTTCCAACCCACCAGCTGCTCTGTGGGAGAAAGATGAGGCAGTCTACTTCAATAAAGATCTACAGCCTTGGAAACCCTATGGGGCAGTTCTACTCTATCCTACAGGATTGCTGTGAGTAGGAATCAACTCTATGGCAGTGGGTATTTTGTTGTTGTTATTATTTAGCTAGTAGAGTTGTTATGAGAAGTGAAAATAATACACATATGATAGTTGCTCAATAAAATGGTAGCTGATATTATTGTGGTGGTAGCCATTATTGTTATTGTTAGAGACAGTAATGTTATTGTTGACAATATTATTTGACAGTAATAAAACACAGACAAACCAGTTTCTACGACATTCAGTGATAAGAGAAAGTGCATAGATAAAAGCCTCAGATAACTCTCCAGATGTCAGTTTTAGCTAAAAGAAGCTTGAGCATCCATTGCTGTGCTTGATGAAGAGGAAAGAATTGTATTACTCACATATTAGACATTCTCCTGCACACCACTTTTACGTTAAAGGACTTCAGTCAAGCAAGGAAAATAAATGCTATACTTTATACCCATGAGTGGTTTTGCTCATAGCCTTCCCTTTTCTAGTTCTGTATAATATATACTAATGTTGTTGTTGTTGTTATGTGCCGTCAAGTTGGACCCGACTCATAGCGACCCAAAGAGTTGGGTTTCTGAGGCCGTATCTCTACGGAAGTAGATTGCCCAACCTTCCTTCCGAGGAGTGGTTGGTGGGTTAGTAGTCAAGTGCTGTAGGCACTACACTACCATGGTGTCCTCAATTCAGTGTTCATTAATTAGAATTGTGTATTGAAAACACCTGCACCTGAACACAGATTGTATTGATATCATTATTCCTCAATTGATTTCACCTTCTCAAAGAACTCTAATAGTTGGATTTCAGTTAAATTCCATAAAAATTAGTTTTACTATGCTTGTTTTTATTTAAGAAGTTAACAAGAAGACCACCATTATACCCCTGAGACTGCCTCTAAGACACCGTTCTGACCTGGAACTGAAGCGATTTCCAGAGACCACCTTTCAGCCAAACTGTAGACAGTCCCATGAAATAAACAATAACACCTGAGAGGAATGTGTTCCTTAGAACAATCTACTATACGAGGTCAAAAGGACAGCATTTGCCCAAAAGCAAAGATGAGAAGGTAGGAAGGGGTAGAAAATTTGGATGAAAGGAAACAGGGAACCCAGGCTTGAAATGGGGACAGTGTTGACACATTGTGGGAAATGCAACCAATATCTTGGAACACCTTACGTACAAACTATAAAATGGGAAAATAACTTGCTCTGTAAAGTTTCACCTAAAGTGCAATAAAAATATTTAAAAAGAAAGAAAGAAAGAGAAAGAACATCCCATTGTTTTGCCAGTTTTAAACCTTTTTCTAAATGGAATCTTATGGTACATACACTTTTGGGTCTGACTTCTTTTCACTTAACATGATGTTTTGGAGATCCAGCTATGCTGTTGAATATAGCTGTAATTCACCTATTATCACTGTGAATAGTATTCCAATGAACAAATATACTGAAATCATCCATTGTACTGATGGAGTTTGGGCAGTTTCTAGATTGCATCTGATTTGAATAGTGCCCCTATGAACTGTCTTATAACATATCTTCTGTACACATTTCTGTTAGGTATAGATTAGAGTAGAATTTCTGGATCACAGAATTTAATAGGTCCAGCTTTAGTTGATGCCACCAAACAGTTTTTCAAAGTGGTTCTCCAATTTACATTCCCACCAGCACTACTGCAAAGAATTGTAAATGCCACATGGAATGAACTGTGGGGAAAAGAGAATATCACTAAATGACCTGTCCAAGTCATAGTTTCTAATATATATTCACTGAGCACCTGCTCTGTGTCCAGTTCTGTGCTAGGTGCTGGAAATACAGGAAAGATTAAGACAGTCTCTCTGCCCTCAGAGGACTCACAGACTATAGGACTATAAGCAAATGATTTTATATAACGCAAAAAGAATGAAAGAGAGCAGAGTAGATAGGAGTACAGAGGAGAGGCAGCTAAATCCCATCTGAGGTAATAGAAGAGAAACCATTGTTAAAAGACCTGGAGGAGGTGACAGATAAGCAGAGACCTAAAGGATGAGTAGCAGTTAACCAATTGAAGAGGAAGGAGGGAATTCCCAGGAGAAGACATAACGTGAGCAGAGGCACAGGGGTGAGAAACAGCATGTATGTACATGTACTGGGAAGGACACACAAGCTTAAGAATTTGAGACAGGGAATGACAAGAAACGCCACTACAAAGGTGGTCAGGGCCAGGTCATGAGAAGATATATATGACAATGGAAATAACACGCCAAAACCAAACAAAAACACAAAATAGTATAGTGCATTCTCTAAAATACCTTTGGTTTGAAATTTTATGTCCCAGATGCCCTAAACTCTCAAAGGAAAAGCTTCTCTACAATAGGCAGGGAAAACTGCTGATTGTTTCCACTTAATTTTTCTATTCCTAGGATTCCTAGTCTCTTTCTATCCCTACTTGCTACCTGTTTGCAGTGCCCCATGGTGCGTCCCTTTCATTTTCATGTGACTTGAATAGTTTGGTAAATGCAATAGGGTTTTACTTTTCAGCTTATCCTTTTGTAAAGAGAGTTATAAAGCCCTCTTTTCTATGTCTAAGGCAGGTCAATAGTATATCATGCTAAAAGGCACACATCCTGCTCACACATACGTATCAACCTACGCTGTGTCCAAGGCAGAGTTAAATGAAACGTATTGAACTTTCACCTTTCTGCCTTCCCATTTTCCTCCTGGATTTTCCTTTGCCTTTCCTGCCCAGATTCCCCAGGGCATATTTCTACTGCAAATGGAAAATTCTTGTCTGTCAGTGGAGAACAAAGAAGCTGCACAAATGGTGCAGAATTTGACTTTTTGCTGGTTCCTCTGTGGGCGTTGATTTGTCCTGTGGTTCATCGAACTGCCCTCACCTTCTCTTGTCTGGGTAGTCTGAGGTGAAATCTGAGTTTTTGAATAAAAGGTGCTGTATTGGTAAATAACATTATACTAATTATTTCCTCTCTGGCCAAGCTGGGGTACTTCCTCATAGTTTAATTTCTAGGCCTCATTTTTCTTACAGAGTAGAACCCTTTGTTAGGGTTAGAATTTCCCGTGAACCTGCTCAATAGTTTGTTTTTGTTTGGGTTCTTTGAAATACTGCACAAAGCAAGCCCTGTAAAAGGTAACGTTGTCCCAAAGGCTGAGAGAGGAGCCTGAGACATAGGCTCAAAGTTGCTCTTTTCAGGCAGAGCCAGATGGATAATTTTACCTCAGCTGGCTACTTTTCAAGGTGCCCAATTCAGAGGCTTTGCCTCAGGGAGCAGCATTTGCTCCAGGGACTTGAGTGCTTCCTAGTGAGGGGTGAGACTTCTGGAAATTTCAGGGCCTTAAGGCAGCCACAGCTGAAGGTGTGAATGAATATATGGTCTGTTCTGGTGAGTGGTGGGAAACAGGACGGGTCCCCTAGACTGCCCCCGCCTCCACCACCAGCGGAGAGCAGCACCTGGCCCCAGGACAGAGAGCAGACTGAAAGGCTGTTTAGGAGGAAGTAGGGAACCCGGGAAAGGTGAGATTGCAAAGGCATCTGTAAGGTTCTGAGTCAAAGGTTGTCAGTCTTCTAGACTCAAGCTGCTCCGCTCTTTAGCAGCCCAGCCCTTTCCCCCGGGCCAGGGCAGGGGATTGCTACATGCGGGTTTACCTGGGGAAAAACCAAAGCCTCACTTTGGCCCCTTCCGGTAATTGACACTACAGAGAGCCTGTGAGGGGGAGGGGAGAGATCCTTCCATAAATGGTCCCACCCCTGGGCAAGGTGGATCATTCTGGCAGGTCGGAACAAGGGAGTGTGCACCTGCCACCCTTCAAGCTCCGCCAGACTGCAGACTTAAGAGGACCGAGCCGAAGGAGTGAGTGAACCATGAACAGCTTGAAGTGGCCGAGCTTCCTCAAGTGCAGGGGGAAGGAGGTAGGGGTTTGGGACCTGCGGGAGGTGTGGAGGGCCTGGAGAGGGAAAACTCAAGGGAAACAATTCTCAGTTTTTGCTCCTGTAGCTGTTCTTCGTTCTCTACATCTCTGCTGACCTGCCTTGAAGTGTGTCTGAGTTGTCCTCAGAGAGTAGAGGGGAAAGAGACGACCTCTAATTCCGTGGTTAGAGGATTTAGGGGCACTTTATCCTCTGCCTAGAAGCTCTGGTAGTGCAGTGGTTAAGGTATTTGGCTGCTAACGAAAAAGTCTGCAATTCGCACCCCTCAGCCGCTCTGCAGAAGAAAGATGAGGCAGTCTGCTTCCTTAAAGATTTACAGCCTTGGAAACCCTATGGGGGTCGGTATGAGTAGGAATCTACTCCATGGCAGTGAGTTTGTTTTTTGGTTTATCCTCTGCCTAGGTGGGTCCCCAAAATTCTTTTCTGGGTCCCTCTGCAGACTATGTCTAGCTTAAAGGCTATGCCGGAGGGAGATGGAAAGGTGTCCTCATTAGACATAAGTAACATTCTATACCTCACAGCTGCTAACAGGTTTGGGAGAGAACTTGCCCGCCTCAAGCAGAGAGAGAGATGCTCCACCTGGTGGGACAGGAGAATTCATTTGGCTCTGCATATTATTATTTTGCTTTCAGAAAAGCACTGATTTTGTTTAAGGGTCAGGAGGTAAATGAAACTTTCCTTAATTCCAAACACCCAAATGAAAAACCATATAGGAAGAAAAGCCTTTGAAATCTAATTTTTCAGTGGCGTTGATTTTACCTAATTAATCTTAAAGAATTTTGTATTTGAAAGTTGCTTTGTCCTTCATGTCCCCCTCATGGCTGGATGAAATATGTAACCTGTTTACTAAAATTTGAATGATCTTAGCTAAAAGAGTAGGAAAAAGTAATCACGTATAAACTTGTGTCATTTCAAAGTAAAGCCAAAGCAACCATCAGCAGTAATCAAACTCTGGAATGACTCCGCTTTTTTTCTCTTTGCTTCTTTTCTCCTCTCCTGTCTTCCCTTCCTTGCTCTTTTCTCTTCCTTCCTTTCATATCCCCTCTCCTGTCCTCTCCTTTCTTCTTTCTCTCTATCCTGTTACTCTATGGACTTGTTAAATTAGGATTCTTTGCAATATGTAATGGTCTAAAGACAGTTCTTGGTGTTTTCCCCTCCCCAGAAAGTGACGATTTCATCTCAGAATTTCCATGTTGATGAAAATGATGAGAATCAGGACCGTGGTAACTGGTCCAAAAAATCGGATTATCTTCTATCTATGATTGGATATGCAGTGGGATTGGGAAATGTGTGGAGATTCCCATATCTGACCTACAACAATGGTGGAGGTATTCTTTTCCCTAACTCAACTTCTAACTGGTATAGCCTCTGAGGGTATTTTAAGAGCTGAGGAAAGATATGTGATGGTTTGGGTTATTAAGAGGATGGTAAGATGAGGAGGAGGTCACTGCTGGAAAAAAAAAGCAAGCATGTTATATATATTATTAAATTAAGCTACTAGCTCAAGTTAAGAATCTGTTTGGCTTCATAGAATCCTCAGATATAAACTTGATAAAGTTTTGTGTTTTGTGTTTCTAGTTTGAAATCCCATGTAAGCTTTAACTATGACTTACTATTCTTAATTTATACATGTCCCTACATTAATCTGTTCATGCTCAAATTGTGCTTTCTTAATTTACAGCTAAATCCCCAGCCCCCCAAAATCTAGTTTTTTTTTAAAGAAACTCTCAACTAAATTGTTTGTTTAAGTAGAATAAGAAATTATATTTGAAAATTTAAGTGTGGAAAGGAGTTGATTAAAAAGTAATTAAAGGTTTTGTATTTTACTATGCATTATTCAGTCACATGGATTTCAAACTAGATTGACCATGTAGAGGAGTCTTCTAAAATGCAATAGTTTAGTTCAAAACTAGGTGTTTTATTCCTGCAAGACAATGCTATTTATACATAGTACCTCATTAAGATAGACTCAATTATAACAAGGAGAAAAAAATAATTCCAATGTCACAGACAAAGGGAAACAAAATGAATTGCAAAATTTTCTAGTAATGTCGAAACAACTTTTCACTTACACCATATTTTATTTACTTATAATTACATGTTCTATTAGAAGTGTAGAGGTGACATGTCTTTGTATTTCATAACTGTGTACCAGTGAAACTGTGCCACTATAATTATTTTTCTTGGTATGATAGGATTTTGTTGTGGTGATATTTTAAACTTATATTCCTATTGGTTGTATTCAAGCATTCATTCACACTGAACTTCATAGGTTTAAAAAAGAAGCTCTGTTTATCAAACAATTTAAGTATCGGTGGCACAAATTCCCTTATCTGGGGCCTGGGTTGTTCAATCATTGGTTTAGTATATGTTTGGCTAGAAAATTAATCAAGAGTCACAATCTTTTTGGTGTGTATTTCTTATGGCCCAGTGTGCTCATATTTAGTGTAAAAGTTCCCTGGGACTTTACATTATAAGTACACCTTGTATTCACCATAAAGTCTCAGGAATGCTGTTAACTTAGTTTTAATAGAAGATTTTAAAACAGATCCTAAGCAAAATAGTATGATTTGGTGTATGAGGATGTCTCTTTCATCATTTCCTCTAAAAATTAATATAACAAATTGACTCTGAATTTTTAACAATCACATCATCTGGTTAATGGATGTTTTAGGCTTCCTCAATTGCATCTTTCTTTTTTGTCCAAGGGTAGGAAAGAAACATGAAATTTAAATTTGTCAAATATATATATACAAAAACAAACAAAAAAAAACCTAAACCCACTGCCATTGAGTTGATTCAAACTCATAGTAATCCCCATTGCGTTTCCAAGGCAGTAAATCTTAACGGAAATAGATTGCCTCCTCTTCCTTGTGCAGAGCGCCTGATGGGTTTGAACCACCACCCTTGTGGTTAACAGTCAAATGCCTTCAACACTGTACCACCAGATTCCCTTCAAATACATATAGATAAGGTTAGAAAATATGGCCAGGCTTGAGAAACTTTTGCTAAAATCTGGAAACATATTTGTCTGTAGATTTTTTTTTTAACAGTTTATGAAACACAAGTTTCATACTATCTTAGGGTTTAGATCAACAGTATTAACAATTTGTATCTACTATATTATATCAGCTATTGATCAGTTATGGTTATTATTAATAATAAAATAATATAATAGATGAAAGGCATATATAACAATGAAGGGACTATTCAATTTTTTTTTTTAAATACCTGTCCATACTGGGCTGGTAAAAGTTTGCTTATTGTTATATTTAAACAACTATATTTTGTATTTCTTTTTCTTCATATTTGTCATTGGAAGGACTTAAGCCTCTATTAGTCATAGTAACGATGGTATGTATGTACATTGCATCATCTATACAGACATATTTGTCCCTGTCACCCAGTGACTTGCAGGGTTAGCATTAAAGTAGAGCCACTTAACTATGAGTATGTAACAAATACTGTATTGTCTCATTATTTTCAGTGGAATATACTTTGAGGATTAGAAAAAAATGTAATTCCTACGTATGATGTAACATAACCATCAAATATTGCTGTTGGGAGCCAGCCAGTTGATTTTGACTCATGGTGACCCCACATGACAAAGTAGAACTGCCCTATAGAATTTATTCGGCTGTAATCTTTACAAAATGGAGCCCTGTTTGTGCAGTAGTATGGTGCTCAACTGCTAAACGAAAGGTCAATGGTTTGAAACCACCCAGTTGTTCCACAGGAGAAAATATGGCAGTCCGTTTCCATAAAGATTACAGCTTTGGAAACTTTGTGAGGGCAGTTCTACTCTGTCACATGTGGTCACTGTGATTCAGAGTTGTCTCTATGGCAGTAGGTTTTGTTTTGTTCTTTTAATCTTTACAAAAGCCAGGTCTTGGGTTTGAAGTACCAACCTGTAGATTAGTAGCTGAGTACACATGAGGAAAAAATGCAACATGGATAAGTGGAATTTATAGAAACCCAAAGTCCATTTTTACCCACTGAACCCCACATTTTCTTATCAAATCTTTTGCCAAGACAAACTTAAAGATAGTAACTTCCACTGTGAACCAAGTTTTGCATTTTTGCCCTCTGTCTTAGAAGTAGACCATTTCGTTTTGAATTGTTTTGAAGACAAAAGAGGGATATAGATACTATGTGCTAACTATTTTGCTAAGTGTTTCACACAGGCTATGTAATTAAAACCTCATCGTGAACTGATGAGTTAGTATTGTTCTTCCATCAGAAGTTAAGGTCATGGGACTGGTAAATGGTGGAGGCAGAATTTTAATTTTGTTCCATCTGAATTCAAAGCCTTCTCTTGATTACTTCACATCAACCTCATTTGCATCCTCCTTTTGTAGATGAGGAATCCAAGGTTTAGAGAATCAGCTATTTTGTCACAGAAAATTACTAAATTTGGGACCCAAACCCAGTACTCTGAGTCTACTATCTCTGGATGCTTTATAATTAGTCTGCTGGTTGTCAAAATGCTATCAGGATTTTGAGATGTAATTGTGGCTCTTTTTCTTTTCTAGGTGCTTTCTTGATACCTTATACTATTATGCTAGCATTGGCTGGTTTACCTTTGTTCTTCTTAGAGTGTTCGCTGGGACAGTTTGCCAGCTTAGGTCCAGTTTCAGTTTGGAGGATTCTTCCGTTGTTTCAAGGTTGGTACTAAAGGGTTTTCGCCTTCGTCTACTCATTGGTTTATTCGTGCTGTCTTAACGATGTGGAAGGAAAAAGCATTAAAAATTTTGACATGTTAAGCAAAGAAGCACGCATTGTTGTTGTTTTCCTGTATAATTTGCCACTGTAGATTTTTTAAATCAAACTTTTATTTTTAGTTCTGGTTATCTAGGGCTGCAGCTGTGTCTTGTACGGTGGTTATGGAGGACCTTAGAGAGGGTTGTAAGGGTGCCATTATTTTCCTACTTCATCCTTTCAAATCCCCTTGGCACACAATCCTGTTGTGCATTAACTCTGTGGTTCTGGCTTTTTTCCTACTTCATATGCAGTCTTTGTCTTACCGTTTTTGCAGATCTTTCACAATGCCTGACTCAGAAAAGTTGAAGGGAAGGTCATTATTATTATTATTATTATTATTTTTAAATGCTCTTAGAATAAGGGACTGGTGAAGTTTTAAAAAAATAATAATGCCTTGATTGTGATTAAAAATCAAACTGCCTTTCTGTCTAAAGATTAGGTATCATTTCAGTACGTACTAGCTGCTGAAAACCATTTATAAAAACGTAAGCGTGGCATCAAAAATAAATTCATAATGAGGTGTACAGAACATTGTGCTGGAATATTGGAGATGCTACCTCAAAAGATAATCTCAACCACAGAAGTTATATTCAGTACTTTAAACTGCATCTTGAAACTACTGAGTTAAAGAAATATTGAAACTTCCAAATCAGATTATTACTGAGTTATAGAGTCTTTTCTCTTTTTTTGCATCTACTTTTAAAAATATTGTACACTATCTTTTCAAAACATTGATCCAGACACCTCACTTTCTACCCGTGAAAATACTGGTTTACATAGGAAGATATAAGTATTGGTCATTATGTAATAGGATATGAGCTCTAAACTGATTTTCCATTAATTGTGCCCATTCTGACAAGAAGTTGTAGACAGAATGCAAAACAGTAATGGGCATGGGGTTTTTCTTTATGTGAATCTTGGTCTTCTGTCCTTGGCCTTAAGATCTTTTTGTAATCAACTGAAACACTGTCTCAAAAAGGCAGTCATAAACATAAGTTTTAAATTTGGGAAGAAATCTCCTCAGACAGGACAGCCTCCCCCCAAACAATTATTTGAAATGGCCTTTTGCAAAGATTTTGTGGAATTGGAGATGCAATTTTTTTATGAATTAGCAAAGGAAAATGAGTTTGCTTTTTAATTTGAATTGTTTTCTTTTCCAGGTGTTGGAATTACAATGGTCTTGATATCCATTTTTGTGACCATTTATTATAATGTCATAATTGCCTATAGTCTTTACTACATGTTTGCTTCTTTTCAAAACCGATTACCATGGGCAAATTGTTCTTCTTGGTCAGATGAAAACTGTAGCAGATCACCTATAGGTAAAAAGACTTGTTTTTAAAATATTGTAAAATTGGCATCCTCCTTTTATATTTTTAAAATAAGCTTAAAGTTAACTTTTCTAACCAATTTTGGGCCACAAGTTATTGGGGAAAGCAGAATAATAATAAGCAAGGCTAAGGCATGCCTCAAAAAACAAACAAAAAAACTCACTGGCATTGAGTTGACTCCTACTCACAGTGACCCCCATTGGTTTACGTGGTGGTAAATCTTTATGGAAGTAGATTGCAGATTAGCAGGTGGGTTTGAACTGCCAATCTTCTGGCTAGCAGTCAAATGCCTTAGGCACTGCACCACCAGAGCTCCTTTTAAGGCATGCCTAGAAATACTTAACTGTAGGCCCAAGGCATGGGCAGGAGAGAAAGAAGAAAATGAGGAAGTGGTAAAGAAAGAAAGATGCTACCAATAACAGTAGTGGCTTATCTCAGGAGACAGTGTATTGTTGTTTGTGTCATATGGTGCTAATCTTTCTTTGGAGGTAATGTAGCATCAGTATTATAAACTATTACCACTGGGATTAACTGTTCATATTAGAGAATAAATTTATAATGATTTACCACATCTTAGGAATTTAAATATGTCACTTCACCAAATAGATTACATAAATTCATATGCTATAAGATCCTTGGAGTACTAAATCCCAACTAAAACAATTGTTACGCTATAGCTGTTATTTCCATAAACATAACCACAGTTTAAAAGGGCAGGTATATTCATAGTCACTTCCAGTTTAGTAGTGGAGAAGATTTAAGATGTTAAATGTACATGGCTTATTCTATCTGTAAGATTTACACCAAGGAAGAATTTAGATAGTAATTTAAATATTAGACCATTAAAATTTTTTTCCAGGAAAGTTCTCTTCCAAAACTAAATATATGTCTGTATTTGTGGTATTTTTAAAAATCATTTTTAGTAACTCGCTGTAATGTGACCGTAAAACCGGGTGAGATCATCCAAATGAATAAAAGCTGGGTAGACACCAACAATTTTACCTGCATCAATGGCAGTCAAGTTTATGAGCCAGGGCAGCTTCCCAGCGAACAGTATTGGAAGTAAGTACACCAGATAATCTACTTCTTAAGCAGATGCTATTAACATGTTTTTATAAACAGCAACAACATATTGATTATCCCCTTTCTTAAATAGGAAAAAAGGAGGATCTGTGTAGATTACACTTCACTTAACTCAAATGCTTCCCCATCCTGGGTGAGTTAGTGAGTAGTTGTAGCTGTTGGGTGCTGTTGAGTTGATTCCGACTCATAGTGACCACATGTGACAGAGAATGGTCACATAAGGTTTTGTAGGCTATACTCTTTACAGGAGTAGATTGTCAGATCTTTTTTCCCCGTGGAGTCACTGGTAGATTTGAACCACTGACCTTTCAGTTGGCAGCTGAACGGTTAATCATTATATTACCAGGGTTCCACACAAAATTAGCTCATAGTCAGCAATTTGTCATTTATAAATAAGTTAATTAGTGGACACAAGACTGTCAATAATGATTTAGTAATTACTATCTGTAAGGACACTACTTTGAAGAAAAATGTTCAAATTGTAGACTGTAACAAACATGTTCCAATGGTAAATGAGTTAGGTGATTAGTATTTGGGGCAAAATTGTTATTTAAAGCTGCAATTTCCTGTTATCTGAGTTGCCACAAATGCCATTATATGGTGGTTGGTGTTATTTGCCCTGGAGTGACTCATAGCTATCCCTCCTTGGGTTTCCGAGGCGAGGCAGTATCACTACGGAAGTAGGTTGCCCAACCTTCCTTCAGAGGAGGCTGGTGGGTTTGAACCGTCAGCTTTCTGGTTAGCAGTCAGCTTTCTGGTTAGCAGTCAGAAGCCTTAGGCACTACACCACCAGAGCTCCTTATATGGTAAGAATGAATATTTTGGCTTATATTTGATTTTATGAATTTAAAATGATACGTCTTTGCTCACCTTACCCTATGTTGTTGTTAGTTGCTATGGAATTGATTCTGACTCTTGACGACTCCTTGTACCTACTTTTTACCCTTATTCAACTTTCCTCACTCTGCTGCTAAAAGTAGCTCTTCCACATTCACATTGTCTTAGTTATCTATTGCTGCTATATGCGAAATACCTCAAGTGGATGGTTTTAGCAAATAGACATTTATTCCCACACAGTTTATGTGGCTCCATATCCAAATTCAGGGGAGAGCTCTAGGCAGACTTTCTCTCCTTGTTGTCTCTGGGGGAAGGTCCTTGTCTCCTTTCAACATCTGTGGGCCTGACATCCCTTAGCAATCTCTGTGTCCTGGCATCAATCTTCCTCTGGGTTTAGGGGGAAGCAGTGACCCTGCCAAAGAACATTCTCTGTTCCTGGCTCTTCTTTCTTAGTGGTTCTCAGATCCTACCTTGTCTGCTTCCTTCTCTCTCCTTTTATCTCTTGTAAGATAAAAGGCTATGCAGGCCAAATCTCAGATTATGGTTGTTATCTCATTAAAGGTGTTGCATCCTACCCTAATCCCCTGACAACTAATTGGCTGGTCACATTAGATCACATCACAGGGATGATCATATTATGACATAACTGACAAATTACATCATTATATAATTGTCATACCATTAAGAATCATGGCCCAGAAAAATTGACACATTTTTGGAGGACACAATTCAATCCATGACATTCTGCTCTTTGGCACCCCCAAATTCATGTCTTTGCCACATGCAAAATACTTTCACCCCATCATATCATCCCAAAAGTCATAAATCAACTACAAGGCCAATTTCTATCCTGAGACCAAAATTCCTCTTCATCTGTGAATCTAGAATAGAAGTTAATCTGCTTCCAAAGTGGAAGAAACACAAGGTAGACATTTCTATTACAAATGGGAGAAACTGGAGGGAAAGAAGGTATAACAGGAACCAAACAAGTAAAAAGCCCAGAAGAACAATTTACATCAGCTCTCAAGACTTGAAAATAGTCATGTGTTCTCTGAGACCATCTAGGCAGTGGCCCTGACCTCCAGACTCTGGGTGTTGGCCATGCTGTCTGGATTCTGGATAGAAGACCATTGGCCCTGGTCTTCAGCTCTGCCTTGGGGTGAGTCCATTTTCCTAGTCCAACTGAGTGGTGGCCCCACTCCCTTGGGCCCCGGCAGACCCTGTTCTTTGGCCCCTTGGGTATGGCAGCCATGTCCCTTCAGCTTTAGGCAGCATCCTGGCAGACCCTGTTCTTTGGCCCCATCCCCCTGGCACTCATAAACAGCAGTCCCCATTCCTGGACTGAACTGGTAAAGATCTGATTCTTTGAAATGTAAGAGGCCATAGCCCTACCCTTTGAAACTCAGAAAGCTGTGGTTCCAGAAAGGGTCTGCAGTGCTGCTGCTGTCCACTTTCTAGCGGTGGCTGCATATCATGCAGAACTATGTTTGAACTAGGCTGAGTTTTCTCTTTCTTAGTCAACTGATCATAAAGTACTCCCCATGAGGCCATAGATGCAGACTGGGAGGGGAAAGGTAATGTGACAGTGGCATTTGGGCCACTTCCTTACACAACTTACTTGTGCCTTCAGGTCTTGCTTGGGCCTGATCTCATATATACCACTTCTATTTAATGGTGGAGTGCTGCTATGCACATCTGACTTTATGACTCTGTGGGTCAGACAACACTCAGTTCACATTGGGCAGCTCAGGCTGCATGGTGACTTTGCAGCCTATGGTTAAGCATTCAGTCTCTTAAGGCCCGGGAAGAAGCCAAAAGTTGTTTCTCAGGAGGAGAGCAGTTATCCACAGAGGATTACAGGGCTTTGCTCCAAAATCCTAAGGGTCTGTGTTGTGATTCACTGATAGTCAATCCATGACATACGTGTTAATTCCCTTTGTTGACACTTCTGAAATTTAGATCTTGCAATGTTCCCAAATATCAAGTTCAGAATCAAGATCCTAGACTCATGCATGTCCCTAGTGAGAATGGTGGAATGTTGGAATTTTACTGAAAGCCTCTGAAAAAGTTTATTTATAAATAATGAAACTTTTGTATTTGATATTTGAAAATGTGGTGAATATGCAAAATATTTAATATATTTTAAATTTTTGTCCTTTAACTTGAGAAAAAAATACTATAATGAGTAAAATGAAATAATCTGATGTAAGGTCAGTTTCTTTATATAAAGGGACTTTTTAAGATTAGAAAAAAATCATGGTTGTAGGAATCTTTTGTTCTGGGTTTGGAATTTTGAATTGCTGTAGTTAATCCTAAAGTTATTGCTTCTTCATAAAGTAGTATCAATAAAAGGCTAATAGGATTATTAATTGATATATGAATAAGATGTAAAATTCATAAAGAGTCCTCCTGGGTGAAAGATATTATAGTATTCAAGGCATTTTTTTTAAGACAAGTGATTTTGTACTCATAAAAGGACTTACGTTTTTTTCAGTAAAGTGGCGCTACAACGGTCAAGTGGAATGGATGAGACTGGAGTAGTTGTGTGGTATTTAGCACTTTGTCTTCTTCTGGCTTGGCTCATAGTTGGAGCAGCACTATTTAAAGGGATCAAGTCTTCTGGCAAGGTAATTTGGAAAACCCATTAGATAATAATGTAGCTACTTTTTAATTTCATTGTATTTCAAGGCTAAGCACTATCATATGCACCATAATGGGAACATGCAACTGTGTGAAAACCTTTCCATTAATTCTGAGTAGACAGCCTTGTTGTTGTTGTTATGTGCCATCGAGTCAGACCTGACTCATAGCGACCCCTCCTTGGGTTTCCGAGGCAGTATCACTATGGAAGTAGGATTGCCCAACCTTCCT